ACACTTGGTAGCACTAGTAGTCAATCTGCACCTGAGTCGTTTAGACTGATCTTCTGTGAAAATGGAACAATTTTTCTCTTTACCCCAGGGTATGCAGGACGGGCTTAAAAAGCTGATGTCCTTGCTTGGCCCTGAGTGCGTGCAACACCTTGCTGCGCAAGGCCTCGAGGCAATCGGTGCGCGTATAGAGGCGCTCTCAAATTACGAAAACGCGCTGCTAGAGCACTTGCAGCAGAAGATGTCTGCATCATTTGCGTATATGACGCCATCGTCAGTGACAAATGATTTTCCTGCCCTAAGCCATCATGGTGAGCGTTAAGGTCTTTGAGGGGAAGGATGTAGAGAATCTCCTGCTCTGGGTGAGAGAGGTCGAAATGGCCATCGCATCCGCCATGCTCCAGACCAAGCAACAACATGTGGCGTTAGCCATCTCAAAGCTCGGTGGTCGAGCGCGAGAATGGGCACTGACGTGCGGCACTTCAGTCGAAGCTGCATTTCCCTCCTGGGCGGATCTAAAATTGCAGCTCTCACGAGTGTTCTCGCCGCCTAAACAGGCATATCGCGTGCGATCGCGTTTCCTTGCCGCCCGACAGGGCAACAAAGATTTGGTTGACTTTGTCCAAGAGATGCGCACTCTCATTGCCGCGATGGCAGCAGATCCTCTTCCTGCGGCGGCCACAGTGACCGTCTTTATGGAAGGCCTCCGCACTGGCGTTGCCAGAATGGATGTCTTGCGTGTGCATCCTTCTTCTTTTGAAGAAGCGTTGAACGTGGCATTGAATGCCAAATTCAACTTCAGGTCAGCACGACTTGGTTTTTATGCACACCCTCGGAGCTCGTCGAGCGGGCCTGAGCCAATGGATCTCAGCTATGCTGAGGAGGAGGAGGGAGAGCTCCGATCTACGGGGCAGCACACAAAAACACGACGGTGTTTTGTCTGTGGAGACACCCGTCACCTGCGGAACGGTTGCCCCCTGCGCAAAGTTCTGTTGAGTCTCAAAGAGGTAGAGGCCAACAGGGCCCATCTCTGAAAAGCTCCGTGCTCTTGAACATGGAACGTGTATGCAAGCCGGGATTGCTGGTCGTGGGGGCGACTATAAGGGCTTTGAGAAGCCATGGAAGATTCTCATCGATTCCGGGGCGTCAGACAATTATGCTCGACGCTCCACGATGGAGGGAAGTCAGCTGTTTGCTGAGGCGCTGAAAGCGCGGTTGGGTGACATCGTTCCTGTTCGCTTAGCGATGGGGACGCGTGTCACGGTCCCGAAGGTCCCGTGTGGACCTCGGAGTCAATTTCCTTGACTTTGATAGCGTGAAGCGCTGTCTAGTATTAGACTTGAATGCAAGGTTTGACCTCATCCTAGGAATAGCATGGGTGGAACACCATGAGCCATGGAATGATTGGAGGTCAAAGACCTTCGGTGCTAGGCGCACGTCTCCTGGTTGAGCTTTGGCGAGTCACGAACCCATCTCTGCTAGAAGACAACAGCGCTATTGGCGAGAGCACTGGACAGAGACGGTCAACGTGCTAGACATTCGAATGTCCGGGTTGGTAGACACCAACGGTGCATTAAACAGGGGTCCCGAGCGTGGCTCGCGGGCTGATCGTGGACTGGCACGTAACCCACAGAGCGCTGCTCAATTTTGGAGAAGTCGGTGCATGTCATGCATTACATGGTCGACAAAGGGCCGAAGCATCGAGGACGAGGCCCTCGTGATGCGCGTGGATTGGCACGAAAACCACTGAGTACTGCTCTCGTTGCAAAGCACTCGCTGCATGCCGTTGATGGCGTGGTTGGACAGAGTTAAAGGCACCTTGGGCACGGTTCTTCAGATGCGCGTGGACTCGCACGGTAACCACTGGACGAAGACGGCGGAGTTAGCAGCTCTTCGTCAGATGTTGTAGATAACATCGGAGCTCCAAAGGTGGAAAAAGTGAGGGTGACAGACGCGGAGTACGTGTTCACCCTGGTCCCACCGAGACATAGAACCTCTGTACAGAGGCGACGGCTACGCCGTATGCGGGCTGCAAGACGGCGGGCGTCGACCCTGATCCAGGGTGTGTCTACCGTAGACGATGGCGCACAGTTATACA